CGGGGCCGAGTCTTCCTCAGGGCGCGTTAGGGCTGCAGTGGCCCAGGTTTCTGGGTGAGACTGGCCCTGTGTCCTCCTCGCGTGCTGTAGCGTTGGGCTTATAGCCTGGTGTTCTGTACTTCGGCTGCTTGGAAAGAGCCAGAAAGTATCTCGCTTATTCTCTTCGCGGAAATCTTGTTTGCCTTGGTGTAAAACCTAGCTTTGATTATAAAGTCTAACCTGAGTTACCCTCATGAAAGGTATTTTCTGCATGTCACAGAGGGGCAGCGTAATAGCTGGTTGTTGGTCTTTCTGTTTTCCTGGTTTTTTAAGTTGAAGACGTTATCAGCTGCTTTGCAGTGTGTGAGATGTCAGGAACGCATACTGTTGTTTTCAGTTCCAAAAGTAGAATCAGAAAACAATCGCTCGCAGTGTTGCAGGCCTAAGATTTGGTGTAACGTGTACTGACAGTGGTTCCTCTGGTAGAAGGTTACAGGAGAACCTTGCAGTTGCATGCCCATCTCCTATTTTGTCAAACGGAGCCTGAATTGCAGCTTTCTCTCATTACTGTGACCTTTTCAATAAAAAACAAATAAACAAAAAATCCCTCAACCCATCAGTTTTCCATAGTGCCACCTGGTCTGCCAAGACTGACAGTCAGTTCTGTTCCAGGATCCTCTTGCAGCAGGATCTAGATTGCTGGTGCACACCCAGGGAAGTCCAGTTAGCAGCTGCTGGACACTGGGTAGTAAGTGTGAGTTTAATTTTTTTGGGTCTGCTATTGGACTTTCCGATGCTAAAGTCAGAATTATTGTTTGCTTTGATATCGATTTCTTCCTTTTTAAAATGAAAATAATGAAATTTGCCTGTCTTTGCACATTCCTGTTGTGAATTGACGGTGGTATCCCATGAGAAGATCAAAGGGGCAAAACAGTTACGCAGCATATGCACCTTATGTTCTCTGAATTGCATTCTAGTGCTGGTCTTAAGTTGGAGAGCTAATACCCTTCTGGCCCAAATCTCCAACAGAATAAGGCAGATGTTGCAATGGGCCACTCTGTTGAATCATTGCAGAAGATTAACCCCAGGGCCCTGTGGAACAGGTCACAGACGTTGGGTTTGTGTTTTGGTGGTGGTTTTTGGTTTTGTTTTTTTTTTTCTTTTTTTTTTCTTTTAATCTTGCTAGCAGTTGGCACGCAGTAATGATGCTAGAACCCTCACCTTTGACTTTTTCCCTGTCTGCCTTTCATCACCACACAGTTTGCGTGCTATCTTAAGTTACTTCTCCAGAATGTGCAAGAAATAGTTACTTAGTTGTTTCAGTTGGGCCCTGAATTTTGTGTAGCTGGATATACTCACAAACTATTGTTTCATTTCTTATTAATGCTGTGCATTTAATGCGAGTGTTCAGGGTTTATATGTGTTGGAGGAAGAAACAAAATACCTTTTGCTTCCCTGCTATGTCTTTGCCTAGTATCTCTTAACTTTATGTAAGATAAAACTGGAAAAAGCAAGCTCAGCCCCTAGGGCTTGTCTGCTTTGGGAAGTCTGGGGATAGCACAGAAGGTGTTAAAGGAAACAGAAATGGCTGTTTGTTTGTCTTTGAAAAATTGCTTTTGTACTGTTTATCTTTTCCCTCTCTGCAGGCAGGGGTCAGCTGCAAATGGAGGGCTATTAGGGCCCAGCTGAGGGGCACTTGAGTTATCAGTGTTCCCCTGTACAAAGATGATTTTTACATGGGATTCTGTCTCAGTATACATAATCTGAGGAAGCTGCTGATGACATTGTGTACCTGTGTGCACTGTCCCTTGTTAGGGTGGCACCTTATTTCTTTAAGCAAGCCTTTAATTTTTGTATTTCAAAACTCCAGGAAATTTATTGGAAAGATGTTTGCATAATTTCTTGTGCTGTTTAAAGTATTACCTGGGATGGTTTCACTTCATATAGTATCACTTTGTTTCTTTCTGATTAAAAGTTTTGTTTCTTCAAAGGGATTCCTCCTTTGGTGCTGCCCGACCAGTCAGTCCTTTAAGTACGCTCCAGCGGTGGTCACGTGGAACTGACGAACTGAAACTGCAGGAGGGAAGATGATGTCCTTGGATGGACCGCAGAATAGAATCAGTAACCCGGTAACTCCCCTGTCATGTCAACAACTTCTCCCTTGGGAAATGGGACTTTGCTATTTTGTGTCAATAGTTGGTACTTTTACTGTTTTGCACAGTGAGGGGTGTTACTGAGAATTCTTTGCATTGCTCAGGTATTTGAGGAGGAACATCACAGGTGACACTAGGAGCTGGTGGTGTTTAGAAATTGTGCTGTAAGCAAATGGACTTCCAAAACGGGAAGTTTGTTCTGTCGGCCATGGAGGGTAATCCTTTTTCATACAGAGCTTATTGAATGTCTGGCATTTTTGCAGAATGTGCTGGATCAAAGGTGAAAATATGATAAGCAGTGTTTTCACTCCTAATTTTCTGTAAACACGGGTGGTGCCTGGCAGCACTTGTGAAATGTTTTTTTTTGTGGTGCTTGTAACTTCTGAACAATTAAACTTGGAATCTTTTTTGATAGTTCATATCTTAACCTTACAATAAGTCCTGCTTTGTAAGGAAGACTTGGGATAACACGTTTCAGCCATTGCAGAGAGTGGATTTGACACAATGTTGTTAGACTAGCTTAGAGTCTTGAGACTTTCTCTGAAAAGCTCTGGTATTCTCATGATCTGGGACAGCAGCCTGACAATGCCATGTGGCTGAAGGGGTGGGCTGGAGCTGTGCTTTTCATTGTTATCTTTAAAAAGGTAGTTCCTTTGAGCCTGCAGGAAGTAGTATTTTTAACATTCTCTTCAAAAATATTAAAAGCCTGTAGAGTATCTATGTGGAGTGTACAGTAGTGCAGATCTGCACAGGACTTCCTTATCTACTGCAGCTTTGCACTGATACACACCTGTGCCCTCAGTAAATCTGATTGTTCAATCCCACTGTATGTTCACTGCTTGCAAATTGGATAGAGTAAGGGATGACGGGGGGATAGCTTCAACCTTCTTCAAAGAACCCAGCTGGGAAAGGAAGGAAAGCTGTGTGGCAAGTAACTAGAAGGTGGAAGGACTGAACTGCAGAAGGAAAGGGAGGATGAAAGTTGGTAGATGGGGATTTTGGTGGGAGAGGAGTTGTGAAGAGGAGGGTTATGAGGTGTTTAGGACAAATGATCTGCATAAGGTAGAGAGTAAGAGTTCAGCTGAATTGGATGGCTGCAAGGGGACTGATAAGTATGATGGGTGACAAGACCAGGCTGGAGAATATAAAGGGGTAAACTAGGGCTTAGGGGTCAAGAGTCTAAGGTGGGAATAAGAGTGAGTATTTGGGATCGGAATATGGAGGCAGAATTGGGAAAGATTGTGCCGATGATCTCAGGACAGCCTCCAGACAAGGCCAGTGCAATGTGCTCTATCTGACCTTGCTTTGAGCAACGCATTGACACCAGAGGTGTCTTCCAACCTCAGCCCTTTTGTGATTTTGTCACCTGTGTGGTACCACAAGGTGAACTTAGTAGGGATGGAAGAAGACAGGCTATGAAGATTTCACTGTTTCAGTGAATTGTTCCATGAGCAGCAAAACTTGAGCTTTATTACAGGTTTGAGTGAGTCTGAGACTTCTTCACTACTGTACTGTTCTGAATCATCCAGAAAATCCTGCTTTCTTCTTTATGCCCTTTACTCCACCTGTCTGGCAAGAAGTGTTGTCATGCCCCATCTGATGGGGCAGCTGTCTGCTACCCAGCAAACTGGATGAAAGCTGTGTTATCACAGTCCTTTCCTCTGTAAGACCATGATCTATCCTCTTGTTTTATGAAAACTGGCAGATATTAGAAAGAACTTGATCTTCAAGACCTCTCAAACTTGGTTGACATTGACCAATTGGCTTCAGAGGTAGTTTTTTGGAGGTTTGCAAGAGAGCCGGGATGCTGGTAGATCATGTGATGTCACAAGCATTACTCTTAATAAGGAAAAATTAGTAGAAGAACGTCTTGAGGCATGAGGAAATTACAGGCACGTTTTGTGATGACAAAGCCTCATTAAGTCTGTAGTATTTCTCAGGAAATGCTCTGTTATGGCCTTGCAGATTCCGTGTCTGAGCTTCTGAAAAGTTGATGGGCCAACCTTCTTTTCTCTTAAATAAATGCATCCTTTTGAGTGTAAAGAAGTGTTTTTGCTACAGCTTCTCTTCCAGGGGTAAATAACTTTGATCTGCTAGAGTGGTTAAGTCCCAGCATCCCTGGCTTGTGTCTGTATGTTTCTCTGGTTTGTCTTTGGAGGCTGAACCAGTAATTTATTACTCTACTGCATCAACTCAGAGCTCCTACCCCTCAGAAGCAGTGTGTTAAAACTAAAATAATCAAGATATATTTTTTCTTAGTTATAGTTATTGTTCTTATTCTTTGAATAAAAATGAGCCTCTTGTGTACAGCTTGTATATTAAGGAACCAAGCTACTACCTTTGCTACTAGCAAAGGGATTTCAGCCTATTTATTCTTTCACTTTTAATACTTGATTTCACATTTTGGTCCTCCTCTACTGCACCTGCCTAAGCCAATAAAAATACATGAGACTTAAAGCAACTTGACCATTTGTGAGCTTATGCTTGAGAAGCAAGTTCTTTAAGTCTGTTTTCCCTGATGTGGAAGATGACTGCAAATTAGGGTTTCTGTAGCATGTAGGTAGCTGAGAAGGGAAGTGGAGAAAGGGCAGAAATGGTTGTGCATCTACTGGCAGAAATGATCTCTGGATTTAGACAATTTTTGCTGTCATTCCCCCTTCCTCAGAAATTCACAAGGGTAAGTGTCAACAAACACATCCCCTTTTCATATCTTCCTGTTTTGCATGATGATATATATGTATATATATTTAAAAAATCAAAGCTTATCCTGTTATGGGTCAATATTCCATTCAAGAGCAGTATTTCCAGGCTGTTTGGTTTTTGTTGTTAAATTACTGGAACTGTTGTTTGCAGCTGATCTTTCATTTCAAAGATGTCCTAAAATCTTATACACTGTTCCATAGATGAGGGATTTTTTGGGAAAAAGAAAAAAAAACAACAAAACCAGCCTTGGCAGAAATTTTTGTCTGTTAACCAGAGCAAATGCAACATTTGCTACCATTGATTCCTTTTTCAATCTAAAGCACATGTGATGAGATGCAGACTTACAGCTTTGCTTTCAGATCAGTCTCCTGTGAACTTGCAGTTTTCTATTAAGGTGCTCCCCTTCCCTCCCTGAAATTCTGGGTGCACCAGCTGATAGTCAGGCTAGGGCTTCTGTCAGCATGTCTGAGTCTCTGCCAGAGAGCTGTGCTGGGGTGTTTGGGGCTTTTATTTTAACTGACATGTCCTCTCATATGGCTTAACAACTCCTACCATGTTGCCATTTCAGTTTAGCATAATGTGGATGTGTTACCTTCTCCAGCAATTGATGCAGAAGGAAAAATAGGCAGGCTTTGAGCCAGACTGCATACCATAGATACCATAAAGACCAAGACCCCTGAACAGGGCTGTTTCAGTGCACCTTGCAGTTCTTAGCTCATTAGGATCATAGAATCATAGAATCGTTTAGGTTGGAGAAGACCTTTAAGATCATCCAGTCCACCCATTAACCTAACATTACCAAGTCCACCACTAAACCAATTAAGGGTAGAGTAGCAACCCCACGCCTCCTGGCTTGGTGGCTGGGTCATTTATGATGCAAGTAAAAACTAGGAATCATTAAGATTGGAAAGGACCTCTAAGATCATCAGTCCAACCATCAACCCAACACCACCATGCCCACTAAACCATGTCACAAAGTGCCATGTCTACCCTTTTTTTGAGGTATTTTGAGGATGAGGCATTTTGTTGTGTTTGTTGTGCAGTTTTTACTAAGACGACACTTTGTGACATAGTCTCTTCTTTTCCCATCATTGTTTTCCAAAATGGAGTGAGAACCAGCAAAAAGGCAGCTGCTGTAGTCTGGGGTCAGAAGGGTTGTGGAAAGTGCCTGCTGCTACCAGCAAGGGGCTGATAATAATCAGCCCTTGGCAATGACCTAATTTGAAGTTAATCCTCTTTATTAAAAGTGAGGGAATAAAATATTACCACTCTTCACTTGAGACCTAGGAATGGAGGCTGGAAATTTTAGTTTTATCTGTGAAGCTTGGTTTTCATAGGTGAAAATCTGCTGGGTTTTTTCCTTCCTGTTGTGGTGGGTATTTAGTGCTCTGCTACTGTTTCTTTTAAATGAAATGCTAGTTGTGTTTCTTTTAATGTGCTAGAGCACCACATAATTAAGTGTTAGAATATTATTTTTAAGTATGTTGTGGGGTTTTTTGCCTCCATCACAAAATGTTATTTGAATCTTTTTTTCCTCTTTTTTTTTTTCTTCTTCTAGATCATTCCATATGTTGGGACAATACTTGGTGGCCTTGTTCCTGGAAAACTGATTGTGATACATGGGACTGTTCCTGATGATGCAGACAGGTAGTGGCTACAGTGTCACTTTTTGCAGTGTCATCATGTGAACAGGGATGTAATGGATAAAAGGTTTCCAGGGGTCCTATTTATGATGGCACAGAAAGGCTTGATCTAAATCCTTGCGACAGCATCAAAATGCAGGCTTAAGTGGTTAATGAAAGCTTTGTGATGCGAAGTGGAGGATGAACTGTTGTTTTGCCTTCTGCTCATCCTCTCTTCTCTCTTTTTGCTTTGCCCGCTTTGGCGATTTTTTTCCCCTGTCATAGCATGTGTCTGCTTGTCTAAAGAGGTTATCTGAGACTACCAAAGTTGATAACTGAATGTGTTGTGTGAAGGAATTAACTTAAACTGGGATAAGGAGGTATGAACTAGTGCGTGTGCCCAGTGTTAAAGGAGCAGCCTCTGCCCCAGCATTCACGCGCCATTCAGGGAGTCACGCACACACCACCTGAGGCTTTAACTCCTAGGACTGGAGTCCCTTCGCAGTGGGCAGCTCCACTGAGCTGACGGGTGCTCCTTTTCGACTCCCCACACGCTCACTCTCTCTCAGGCATGTTCTCTCCCCTCAGGCTCAACCCTAGGTTTCCCCAAAGCAGAATCTTTGACATGATGTACGCCAGACGGATTTATTGAGTGGAACAGTGGTAAATGACAGCTCAAGCTGGGTGCCTCCGGAGAGGGACCCTGAACAAAGAAATCCCTGGGCAATTATACCCTTACAACTTAAGTTCTCCTCCCCTCATGTGATGGTTTGGTCCAATAGCAATATTTGGGTCTGGGGTCTTCTTGTTCTTTATTGGATCCTTTGTCTCCAGGTGAGACATTCCTTCTCTTATCTGAATGGATACAGCTTCTGCTAACAGTTGCGGCTACCTTATCTTTCTGTTTTGCACTGGTTTCAGGGCTTTCTTCCATGTAGCTAGGTAGGAGTGCAGCATACAGTCAGCATATCTAGGTGAAAGCCCACAGTTTGCAGCCCAAGGCTTTAACAGGCCTTGCTACTAACACTTCGTATTAGACTCTGTTTGAGCTAGGTAGTGCCTTCTGCAACACCCAGTATGGGGTTCTGTTCCCTGACTTTGCCCAAGGTTTATTTGGTTATTCCACTGAAGATGATGGGAGGGAAGGTAGGGAACACAGTAAGTGAGGAGCTTACGTGATATGAATGATGACCATTAAATAAATACTTAAATATTTTAATTCATAGCAATAAATCATGGGACAACCTTTCACAAATGTGTAGGAGTTGGGCAAATACACATTTGGGGTTTTTTCCTTACCCAACAACACTTATTGTGTCTGCCTGTTCTGAGGCTTGGCTTCACAGTAAAACACGAGTATATCGAACTTCTAGGTGATTTCTTGACAGACTGACCTGAATATGGTTTGTCTTATTTTTATGATTAGGTTCCAGGTGGATTTACAGTGTGGCAGCAGCATAAAGCCTCGAGCTGATGTGGCGTTTCATTTCAACCCCCGCTTCAAAAGGTCTGGCTGCATTGTTTGCAACACACTGGAGCAGGAAAAATGGGGCTGGGAGGAGATCACTTACAAGATGCCCTTTCAAAAAGGGAAGTCATTTGAGATTGTCATCATGATCTTAAAGGATAAATTTCAGGTGAGTCTGGGTTGATTCTTTATCCGTGTCAGGCCAATAAAAGAGAGGCATTTTGTATTCTTACAGTAAATAGTTGGAAGCCTTGGTTTCTCTGTTACCTAGGTATAGTCTAACTACAGAAAAGTTTAGAAGCTTTTCTTTAAAGAGGTGCTAAGTAAATCAGACCTTTAATTTTGTATTGCTCCCCTCTAAGTTGGATGAGTAGGCGAGTAACTTCCTGCCGTGGCTAATGGCTACTCCACCCTTCTCTTATGTGCAAAGGGCTGACCTTAGGATAAACCTGTTTTGTGACTAGTGTAGAACGGTCTTCTTGGAGGAAACATGTGAGGTGTATTTGTCTTGCTCTGTTAGACTGCAATAGATTCTATCAGATTGGTAATACCACATTGGTAAGTGATCAGGTGATAGAAACAAAAGGTGTGAAATGCAAATTTTAGCATAGGCAAATAAATCTCCCTCATAGGGATGGAAAGAGAGCCTGAATCATGGATAAGCTAAACTTAGTTGCTCTGAAATTTCTAGGGCACTACCTGCTTCTGTACCAAACCAGTGTAAAAGAGAGATACATGCGTACAATTTGATACACGGCTGGTGTAATGTATGTTTAATACAATTTTTCTACTTTGTTTCCTGTCTCTTTAGGTGACTGTAAACAAGAAGCACTTGCTGCTCTACAACCACAGAATTAGCCTTGAAAGAATAGATACTCTTGGAATATATGGCAAAGTGCAGATCAAAACTATAGATTTTGTTTCTAATGTAAGTTATATAGGCAGCTGACTTGTTTGATTCCTTTTTTTCTCTCTGGCTAAACTACAGAGTAGGATTTATGGTGAAAAGGAAGTAAAGAAAAGCAGCTACGCAGTCTAACCTCAGTAACAAGATTTTTTTCCCCTGGCATTTCAACATGCGAGTCTCATGTAAGGATCTCTGTCTTCCCATTTTAGTCTTGAGGTTAGGGGCAAAAGGGTGACAGTTTACAGCTTACAAAGTTAACAGGACGGTTGGTATAAGAATTGATTGGATACTGGATCTACGAGTGGATTAGACTTTTCAAATACTGCTGAGCTCCAAAATGAACTCTCAGTATTCAGTGCTTCTAAGTGACAAGTTCAGCCATGGCTGGAACTTGTTGCTTGGCTCCAAATGCCAAGTTCAGCCACAGCTGGAATGGCTGTTTTTCCTGCTAAAGTGACTGAATTGTTGAATGAAGTGGTAAGTAGGAGAATACGTTTATTTCTGGGGGGTGAGAAGAGATGTCCTTTCTCGAAGACTTGGTGCCTCGACTTGCACTTGGACCAAACTGCAGTGAATTTAAAGCAAAGGCAGTGCTGTGCTGACACGTCTGCTAGAGAAAGTAGACCAACAGGGAGGAGCTGAACAACATTTTCCCCCTGTGCAGAAGGAGAGATCCTTCTGCTCTGGAAGGGTGAGACTTTCAGAGCCGAAATGGAAGGTGATAACTTCCAGGGAGATACAGAAGGTGAATACCTTTTCCCTTTCTTCCTGCCACTCTCTAAGGCAGCCTACCTACTCCTGTGTAATATTCTGGGTCTCTTCTGCCCCTTCCTCACTACATTGTGGGCAAAGCTTGGGTCTCTTGCTGCCAAATGTCAGGTCTAACTCAGGTTAGCAGACTAATAACTGTGTTGATAGAAGGTGGAGGTTTGGGCCTGAACAAAATGGGGTTCAAGCTTTAAAGGAACGTCTACTCACTGATGATTAGCAAAGCCAACGTACAGACTTTTATGGGTCCCAGTCTGCCAGGGCTAGGCTGGAACTGTATCTCTGCATGGCCATATTGCTTGTCTGCCTTTCCTGTGGGAAGGGACAGGGATGCAGGGGACAGCTTAGAATCCCAGGGCCCCCTGTGTGGACCTGCCCTGCTGGTATTCCTACCCCAGCGAGGAAAGCTCAGTGGGTACCCTCAGTTGCTAAGGGGTTAACAGTGCTCAGACTGTTAAATAAAGATTCAAACTCTAATGAGGTGGTCTTTAGAAATCTTGATTTGGCTTCAGCACTTGTGATCTTCAGGGCTTTTCCTTGGTTTATAGGGGTTTGGCTGTCTTTTTCTTTACCATAGCCCTAAATTTCCATGTTAGCAGTTCACCCTTCAAAGCAGCACAGATCCTTATACTGTTCTAAACCAATTTTATGTTAACCTTCTATGATGTTAGCAGTGACATCTAAATATCTCTCTTCCTGCAGTCTTTACAAGGCTCTCGGCCATCATCTCTAGGAGTAACAAAGATAAACACAGAAAATGTATGTATGTTTGTAAGAGGTTGAATGAATGTCCCTGCTGTCTGATAAGCTAGTTAATGTTGTTTGTTTTCTCTTGTAGGGGGAAATGCCAGATGGTTCACAATTTGTAAGTGTCTTGTGTAGACTTGTGGCAAATGTGAAGAGTAAAAAAAATTGAAATAAAACCATCTTGGTTATTCGTGGAAAAACATGCACAGAACAAGGGAATCAAGAATCTACTGGGAGATGATCATCAGTGAGGTTTTGTAGAGAGTAATCCTCTTTGCTGCTGCTAGTGAAAGTGAGGCTATTTGTTAAATCATTTAGAAAACCCAAAAGATAAACACAGCATCCACAGCCATAAACAGAGAAATAAAAAGTGAGGTACCTGAAATTTTAAAGGACCGAATCACCATTCGAATAAGCATACTTAGTTTTCTCTGCCTTAGGGAATACCTGCCAAACAAAAGTATTTTGCAGTCATGTTACGTCAAATGGCCTTATGTTAATGTGTGTATCTCGGAACCTGTCTGGCTACATCTTCCTCTTGCTGACAGATCCATGCTTACCCTGTATACACTTCAGGTGGCTGGATGCAAGCATCGCACCTTAGGGTTGAAACTTGCACCCAGCTAGCATGGACCATAGACAGAGTGAGTGCTCGTCTTTTTGCAAAAAGCTGTACAGGTGAACAGTATCCAGACTGGAGTAAGGACCACATTCAAACTGAAAAGGGGTTGGAAGCCAGGAATATGTACAAATAGAATTTGTGGAGAAGGTGAAGTTGCAGAGAGTGCCATGATTTTAGTTGCCTTGTCACTTGACAGTCTGCTTTCTTCAGTCTTCTTTTCAAAACCAAATAACGTGCAATATTGTCACTTGCAAGTGGTGGACTTCAACAAAAAAATAAAGTAATTCTGCATTCACTCCTTTTCCCTGATCAAAATAACTTCTAACACAATGGAAAAAAAAAAGGCAAGTTAAAATACTTGCACTATCTATCATCATGAACTGGTGCCAGGAGGACAGAATACTCGGTGACCCTGCTTCTAGTACTTAATATAACTGTGGGACTACACACCTAGCATGTGTCTTATTCTTAAAGCATAACTGAAGCTTTCAGAGAGGAGAGGTTGGGATGTCTGTATCTGAATAATTATTTGATACAAATTTAAATCAGTGCAGGGAGTTTTGTGCTTGCTTCCCCCCCTGCCCCCCCCATCTTTCCACCATTAGTGGTGGCAGAAGTAGTTGTAAATGTTTATTTTGAACCAAGGGTGGTAAAGAAATCCAACACATTGATATGTTTATCTCAGTGTCACTTTTCCACTATAGTATTAGTATCCCAGAACATGTTGGTAGGAATAACTTTAGCTATAAGTGCAGATTTGCAATTGTAGGCCAATTTTTTTCCTGCCATAGTAAAGCTCAGCTTGTGTATTGAAAAAACTAAGTCACTGTCAAAATTTTTACTGGTGGTGTACTTCCAGGGAGTTCCTTACGTTGGGAAACTTGATACCGCACTTCGTCCAGGATGCACAGTTGCCATTAGAGGAGAAGTGAATAAAAACCCAAAGAGGTGAGTGTTACTGAATTTTTCTGCTATTTAACTCAGCTACTCTTGAGAACGAGTAGGCTTTTCCATAGCCTCAGTATATCCTTACTCATTTGCAACTTTGCGCCTGGAATCATCTGAAACTACAGTGCTGTTTTCTCAGGAACCTGCAGGATACCGCTTTAGAGAGGACCTAAAAGAGCAGCTCCGTTGTGAAAAGTGAACGTAAAACAAGAGCGTCTTACCGACTAAATCTGCATCAGTTGCAAGATTTTGTGTCTGTTCAGGGTTTCCATTGTGCAAGGCATGTGAGCACACATTGTACAAAGACAGCTTTTATTCTAAAGAGATCCAAGGGTAAGGGAACTGGCAGAAGTAGGTGGAAAATGAGTGAGTTAGATGACTTGCTGGTGTGCTCAAATGTTGCATGTTACAACGTTTGTCTGAATACTTCTCGGACAGCCTCCTCGGGGACTGTATAAGCATGGTGTCTAACTGACAACAACTGAGTGATGAAAGCTGGTAAGGGAGTATGAGCTATAATTTTGATGATAGCAAATTAGGAACAATGTGTTGCAAAGAAGTTATTTTCCCAACATGATTTAAAGGAGGGGGGGGGGAAGGGGGAGCGCCAGCGGTCAAAATGGAGCAGAGGAAATGTCTGTGCTTCAGCATGCCCTTTGCTTGAAGGGTGGTTTTGGCTCTGCAGAAGCATGCCTAAAAATGAAGCAATTATTGCAAATGATGAGAAGCAGGCTTTTTATACTGTGTGTACTGCTTCCTCAGAGCACCTATCTTCCTTGCAGCTGAACAGCACTCAGTTCATATTAATACTGGAATCCAAGGTCTAGAAATCTCATCAACAAAGTTTGAATGGACTTTAAGTTGGACAGGATAATTAATACTTAGACAGTAGCATTTGTTTTCCTGCTTTTGGCTTGAAAAGCTTATTAGCACATTTCAAGTGCTGAATGTACTGCTTGTAAATGTGAAGAGGCTTTTGGGTGTTTAAAGTTAAAGCATTGCAGGTTGTCTGCTCTTTGTGTTTGTCCTTTTGAACGTATATTTTTTTAAAGAGATTGTGAGTTGTTTAATGTCTTTCACTCAGCTCATACAGTTGTAGATGTTCCTTTTTCTCAGTGAAAAAAGAGGACTTCACAGCTTGGAAGTGTGGCTGTTGCTGTATTTCGTATCTGGACTAAGCAATTCTAGGCTTCTCAAAGGGAAATAACCTGACAGCTGGAGCTAATTTGTCAGGGAGGAATATTTCTTCTTCTTCAAATGCAGTGAGGTCTTTGCCACAGGTTGAAGCATTCATTTAAATTTGAATGACTCTTCCCTCTGATCAACTCTTCTCCAGAGCTCCCCTTTAGGAACCCTGTGTTGTGCTCATGTTGTGAGATTGCAGAGTATTCATTTGGCCTGGGCAGAGCTATGCTGCCTACAGAGTAACACTTTGTATGCATGGTGTCCCACCAATCTTAAATGTACGGAGAGAATCCTCAAAATTTCCTTGGAGTCTAACCAGTTTGTTGGCAGAAAGAATACAATGTCTTTAGGTAAAACAAAGCCTCCCACTCTCCACTGCCCGAGTTAAGAGAAGGAGATAGTGGAGCAAGTAGCACCATATGTTTCTGTGAGAATGCTGCTTCCTAGTGCTGCTGTAGGGGAGCAGCACTTGGCCCACTTGGCTCAATACCTCCCTGCTGAGACATGAACAGAAAGCCGAGAGTAGTGAAGCAGATCTAGCAGGGTCATGTCCTACAGTTGCTGCCTCCAGCAAAGGTTTCCATGTGAAGGAGACAAATGCATGTTAACTGCCTGCTTGGCTCTTCAGGTGAATCACGGCCCTGGCTCTATAACAGTTATGAGTATTGGCTAAGGGCTTGGTAAACAGCGTGGACTACTGCATCATGTTTATAAACCCTTGGTATAGTAAACTTTTAAAAAATATCTTTCAGCTTTGCAATAAATCTGAAATCAAGTGACTCAAAGGACATTGCGTTACATCTGAATCCCCGAGTGAAAAATCAAGTTTTTGTAAGAAACTCATACCTTCATGACAGCTGGGGAGAAGAGGAAAAGGAAGCGGCCAACTTCCCTTTCAGTGCAGGGATGTACTTTGAGGTAAGATTAACTGAAACATAGCATCAAATTGGTAATTCTGCCAAAAGGATTAGCAGTCGTGCTTAAATGCCATGTCACTAGTACAGATTTCAATAAAACTGCCATTCCTGCATTTCGATGTCTTGAGAATATTTAGGCTTAAATGCAACCATAGGGAGAAGAGATTTGACTTGGTTTTAATGACAGTTTTCTTTTTAAATAGTTGCAAGAATTCAGCCTGTGCTCAGAATGAATTTTGAGTTGGACTCAATGATCTTTATGGGCACCTTCCAACTTGAGTTACTCCGTGAATTTTATTGAAGTTCCAGTTTTTAAAATGCTTCTTTTGTGTTAAACGTTCTTTATAACAGAAGCAGGGCTTGCCCAACTCTAGGCTAGATCATCAGGTTGTTTTTCATGTCTTAACCCCAGCTTAAAACTTAACTGTTTCTCCTCTTGCTTTTCAGATGATCATTTTCTGTGATGCCCACCAGTTCAAAGTTGCTGTTAATGGTGTTCACATTCTGGAGTACAAGCATCGTTTTAAACAACTTGAAAAGATCAACGTAGTGGAAATCACGGGAGATGTTCAGTTGTTAGATGTGAGCAGCTGGTAGTTCTTTTCGATCAGTACTAAAAGAATTAAACGTCTTCTAATGACAATGCCTCCTTGTCAAGTACAAATAGGTGCTGACTCATGCTGAGCCTGCCTTTATCTATCTAGGCTTCTGCATCTGCCTCTCTGAGTTAGGTGAGTACCAGAACTGCTAACTGTGAGATGAAAGCCTCCTCTAGTTTACAGTATCCTGGCAAGCTAAGTAAGTGTTTGCTCAGATAAATCTCCTGTATTACTGAACCTAGCAATATGAAAATGCTGCATCATCCTGTGTCTAACAATTGCACTCGGTATGTTTAAATTAAACTACTACTTGGCACTCCTTGAAAGCATACATTCAGTATCGTGAAGCAGAAATGAGACTGAAATAGGATCTGAAGATACAGTTATCCACTCCAAAAGGGATATTGATAATGCATTTAAAATAGAACTATGTAATATACTCTTCTGCTGCTTAGTTTATTTTAGCAACTATAACCTTTTTACTAAGGCTGGATTAAGCAAGCAGTTGACCCATCAGTTCTAGCAAAAGGCAAGGAGGAATTTGATCTTACTTAGCCTGCTGCAGTAGTAGTACCTTCTCTGACACTCATGGTTGTATCATCTCCTGCTTATAAGTAAGTGGCTTAAATCAAACATACAGCAGCATTTCTAGCTTTTAGTTTTCCAAAGTGAAACAAATGAAAATTATTTAGCCAGTTCCAATTGTGTGAACTTTTGAAAGCTTGTTTGATCTGAAATGGCTGCTAACTGAGTTGACATTGCTCAGGGACTGAAGTAGATGTTTGTGTTTCTCATTTTTTCAAAAAGTGTGGACCCAAGTACTCCAGGCAGGGTTTCAGCTGAGACTCGGATACTCATCAGTGGAATACAGAATGAATCCTTTTTCAGTCTTGTATTAAAATAGTATCTATCTGAAACAAGCTGTTCCTATTCAATCAGTTTTCCGTACAAATGTCAGTCTTAATTTTTATACTCTTTTTAAAGATAAGTTGCTGCTGGCTGTCAATACATGCCTGAGGGATGTTCCTATTTATCTTAACAGCTGCTAAAAGAGTGAAGCAATTTCAAGAATAAGATGCACCCTAAAAGACTGTTTAAGATAAATTACCAGATTTAATGTATAAAAAGCATAAATAAAAACATTTGTGAACTCTGCTTTTCTCCAAGGTAGCTGAGTAGCTTTGATCCCTTTTTGGTCTGTATTTTGTCTTGTTTGGCTTATTATCTTAGCAGTATCTCCAAGGTGGCACAGTGATCCTGACTGGAGGACCATTTCCACAGAGGAGTTAGCGATCCACAGACCAGTTAACCTGAGTAGGCCTCGGCCTCGCTGGTGTGGCCTTCAGGACAGTGTTGTGCTGTACATGCCCCTTGGCCGCAGGATAAACTTAGCTGGCTGATTGTAACACAGGAGCTAGTAGGCAGCTCCCACGCGGTAATGGCAATTGCACCACTTGTGTGTCCTTGCCTTTATCTCAAGAGTTCAACAGGAGGTTCTCATGTGAACAGCCTTTTTGTTTGACAGCAGACATGATTAATAGTTGTTTTCATTTAAGAAAATCCTGTAAAAGCATGAATGACCATGATGGGGTAACCTTTCCACAGGCAGGATCTAAGATTATCCTCTTTAGAGCCAATGCTAAAAACGGTTGCACTTTAAACCGTACTTTACAGAGTCTGAGTGCCTCTCTTACTAGCAATGTAATGAACCAGCATGAACCTGGTGCACAACAGGTGGTGAGTTTTTTGGTAAATTCATTAGCATAGCAAGCAATTTATTCTTGATCTTCAGGTGAGTAAGAAGCTAATCAGTAGCAGTCTTTAAAGAATAAAAAACAGCTTTAGCTCCTATGTGAATCCTAGTTTTTGTAACTTCCTTTTCAGTATCTTCAGTGGGTTTACTTTTCACTTCCCTAAAAATGACAGAGAAGCAGATTCTCAGGATTGCAGTGCATGGGTCCAGTGAGTACCATGCTTACATTCTAGCATGACAACCCCTCCACAGGGATAGTAACTGCATACCCCAAGCACAGTGGAATCTAGTGAGTCTCACGTGCTGGCACTCTGTTTGTGCCCAGCTATCAGAATTTGCTTATATCCTGCTCCAGTTTCCCCACTGTTAACAGCAGTTAAGGAAAAGTCCCCAGACCACCCAGAAATTATAAAGCCAGATTCTTACAATATTTTATTAAAAAGTTAAGATCTTAGCTCTGATAAAAATTAGTATGACAGTTTGCCTGTAACACTTACATGTGTGAATCTAACATAATTCAGACAAAATTTGAAAACAAAGGGGATAAACTTAGAAGTAGCTTTGGAGTGGTTCTCCCAAAATGACTTCCAGTTGTTGAATTGTCTTCTGACACTGCTGTTCAACTTCTTCGCATTCATCTAGAAAAAGAAATAAAGCAGGAATTAAGTAGAATAGTGATTACAAAGCTACCCTAGGAAGGCTTCATCACTTGTCAAGGCTTAGAACTGTCTTCAAACACCAGGTATGAAATAATTATTCAAAAGTATTTTGACACTGACTTGGGACTGACTTAGGCAAATTATATCTGCTGTAACACTGATCTAAAACATGCAGCTGGGGAGCTGTGCACAGGCTATAACACTGAAGAAACTACCGTGATTTAACTGAGCTTTAGGGGTGTGAGGGATATAATCCATTTCAGTTTGCATCCTGCACAGTTTAAGCTACTGTATAGCAATTCATGAGATTTATAGCAATTATTTCAAAGACTCAGACAGGATGATTGCTCTAAGTGGCCCTTATTCTTTTTTGGTCATAGGCCAGTTGTCTGCCTTCACTAATGCCACTTCTTTAGACCATTACCTTCCATGAGCTCAGCTAAGAATGGAATAGATTCTGGTAGCAGGATCAGGTAGTTCTCCTTCAGTTTTTGTGCAACTGCTACCAAAGCAAGCAGAGCAGCAAATCTGACCTAAAACAAAATAATAATCCTTGTGAAGAAAGAAACATTACAGTACAGTTCCCTGTTTTCTCCCCCCGCCCCAACTTCATTCTATGTAATTTCCCTACTGAAGAGAACTAGTTTTAAGCTAATTTAAATCTCAACATCTGGGTTAAGACAATGTCAAAGGAAAAACAGGTTGCAAGAAGCAGGTTATGTTGCTGGAAGTTATTTGATATAAAGGTCTTTAACTTCCTGTTACAATGCCATTCTATTCCACTGTATCAGAAGGACTTAGCTCAGTACAATGAAAAGCCAAGTACTCCCCCTGAATACATACAACCTGTCAAACAGGACAGTTGACAAAACTATGTAATAAACAGGTCTGAAGGTTGATAAATAACTGTCTTCCAGTTCCCCCTCTGAAGTGCCCCTTTCTTCACACACAAACAGGTTAGCTCTTACTCCAACAGCTACCAAATCTTTAAAAAACCCAAACCACACAGTATGGAAGACATCCACACGTGGAATATTGACTGCTTACAGTAAGAGCAGAAGGCCGTGTTGTATACATCTCTCTAGAACTTGGGAGTAGCACAGTACAGTATCAGTATTTTAATTCAGGCTAGTATTTTAGCAATGACTTGGCTAATCCACTTCTGGGTTTTGGGGCACTGTTCCCATCTTCTAAGGCAACAAAGAAAACCAGTTCAAATTCTGATAGCTCCCAACCTTAGGAGAGGTGTGCCTCATTTTCAGCAG